AGGCTACCGAAATACTCCAAATTTACAACAGAGTCTCGTACAAAAGAAACCTTGTAAACAGTTATTAAAATAACTGATAATTGCTGCATATATCACATGCGACTGAAGCGCACTGAATAAGCGATATATGATTCTATCATCACAGACCTGTTTTCCATCGCAGGAGACCCCGTTTCCTCACGATAACCTCAAAGGTTTTATGAGCAAAACAACGCGAGCCGGGGAGCTCCGAGTGAGTGGAAAATCCAGAGGACAGATAAAACTATCCTCTTTTGCTTTATGATGAATAGAAAAGTTTTTGTATGATGTGCATTATCATCACATTCTACAGACACTCGAGGAGCTCCAAAGGCACTCGAGGTGTTTACCATCGACACCAGGGACCCTACAGTTCCGCTTCAAGCCGCACAACTGATACAAAGATCAGGCGCTGATCCAGTCATCTGGACCAGCACTGAACTAACCCGTACAACGTCGGCTGGTAATTTTCGTCTGTATAAAGACGGAAGTGGGATTTTTGGTCTTTGGGTGCCAAACTCGCAGGCTTTCTAATCCGATGGTGCTCCACCTAGCATATGTGCTCCGGATGTCCAATCCGGACATACAATTGATAGGTCCCATAGGTTCAAAGCCGAGCCAGTTTGGAAGGATCGCTCATACAACCGCAGCTCTGAATACCGGCGAGACGACAGAGTTTTAGCAGACTCGAGTCGAAATCGTCGGGAAATCAGGGTAGCTCCGTATGACCGATCGGTCGGGTATGGAATCGTTATGCAATCGGCAGCAGCACCATTTCTCATCACGTCAGCAGCATCATCATTATCATAGTCAGAGCGATGAGTCGGCGAGTCAATCACGATTGACAGCCGACAATCACCACTCAGCACCATACGAACGTGCACGTCTGGTGAGCTCAGCAGCAGTCAGGCACTCAACTTTGACGCACGAACGTCAGCAACGCAAAACGTTGTTAAATCGAAAACGACGTGAGCGGAAAAAACGAGTGGTAGCGGCGGCAAGTACGATGGTGATGGAGCAAGAACAAAACGTACATCAACAATCCGCTCCATCACTTCCAGAAGAAGATGGTGATGATAATGATGAGGGACCACCCAAACATATAGCAGAACTCATCCGCACAGATGAGTCATCCGACATAGAGGATTTGGCAGACGATATGGAGCGTCTCGGTGAAAACGAACAACCATGACAGCAGGACAAAAACAGCAATTAAAAATTGCATTTTATGCCTGCGTGTCTGTGCCAATCTGCAGATGCCGTTAAGACAGTAACTTACGGGCATAAAGCCCTTTTTCTTTTCTTTTTTCCGTGTGTGTGTGTGTGTGTGTGTGTGTGTCTGATACTTTTATTTTTTATTTTTATTAATTTTATTTTTCGTATGTGTTTTAGATCATAAAATTGCCTGATGAGTTTTATTTTTAAATAAAACGAAACGCGTCGCAACAAACAACATTCTTATTTTCTACAGCATTACGATCAATATATCAAGCGAACAACAAATAGATTTATGGTTGAAGTGTTATTTTCTATAGAAAACATTCGACTATAAATCGCTAATTTTCAGTTGGGTTCAAGGAGTCTTTTATTAAGGCACTTGTTCTTTCATCACTCTCTATCTCTCCTAGTAACAATTAAAAAACGCGTCTAATAACAGTTTTTGATTGTTACTTTATCAAGTACTTAATCCTTTATTAAAAACGTCAGCTGGTATACATTATTATTATCACTGATAATAGAGAAAAAGAGAGAGATGCTAACAACGGCTCAACAACCACTTCCACAGAGACCTCGTGGAGATAATAATGGTGTTGACCTACAACATAATGTACCGCAGCAGCAAGAACAACATTACCCGCAGCAACAGTTCTATCCACAAGCGCCAAATTTTCAAGAACGAGTACAAGTATATGGTAATAACCAAAACCAGTTAGCGCACGGTGCGGCTGATCAGAGACGATATGTGCCTCATCAGCCAACCTTAGGCGACTATATTCCTGGTCATAACCGTCTACTTCAAGGTGCAGCTGATCAAAGACCATATCAGCCCCAACAGCCAGATTACAGGGCTTTTCGAAACGGCCAAGGACCAGTAATACAAGAAGATAGACGGTTTGACAATAGACCATTTCTAGTTGATCATTGGACAAGGCGCAACTATAACCAATGGCAGAATGGTGGATTTGACCGACCGTTCGTGCCAAGAACCAATGGTCAGACTAATAGAATGAAACATGATGGTAGACCATGGCAGCAGCAACAGCCATTTGTTAGGTTTAATGATCCGTATTACAACGGATCTGCTAACCAGCAAGGCGGCATGGCACTGACGCCAGAGCAGCAACAGCGACGCACTTTTTTGAATCGAAAAAGACAAGCTCGCAATAAACGACTATTTAATAATAGGAAAAATAATTATAATGAGGCCGATGCTTTACTAGTAGGCAACCGTTTCAATGTTTTGCAAACATTAGACCAGGACGGTGTTTTGCCCGCCGAAAGCGTAGAGGTTATACCGGAGGCCACTAGTAGTAAAAAGCAGGCATCAGTGAAAAATTCGAAAAAAACATCGAAGAAAGCAAAACAGAAAGCAAAAAAAGCAAGCGCTCAAATAAATAAACCAGTCTCATTAGAT